GCTGGCATTGTACAAAACAAGTGGGGGCTTCCCCACTGTACATTTAGCCCTGCTTGCCCACAAATGTAAAAAAACAACTCCCTTGGGTAGTTGTTTTTTACATTTTGGGGGCACCCGGACCTGCATGTCCCGGGCGTGGGGAGATAGGAATGCCACAGTCCCGCTGCCACTCTACTCCATGCTGCCCCGAGGCCGGGCCTTGTGGGAAATCCGGCCCTGGTTGTTGGTGTATCCGTCACCCCTCATCCAGCTCCATAAAAATGGCTGCCAAGAAGGATATAGAAGGGAGCGGGGGAGTCATCACATCACAGGGGGGCAGCTACGAGGTGTGCAGCAGATTTTAGACACTTCCAATCGTCACATTAAATGGCGTTCAGAAGAGGAAATCTGAATTGTTCAGAATTTATCATAATTTTCCTTTTATATATAAAAAAATACCAAAAAGTTATTTTGCATTTTTAACACAGTGATCAGAACCGACTCTACGTTCCCTTCAAGTAGCAGAATCTTCAGTCTTCAGACAACAAGTCAGACATTTGCAAACGCTTATCAGGACGGACTTACTTGAAGGCCATTGTGTCGACGTTGCACTGCCAGAAGCAGATGGCTCCATCGGCACCGGTAGATGTGAGGTATCGAGTTCTTCCTTTTGTAGAGGGGCAAAACTGACAAGAGAAAGACATGAAATCAAATGGGGAGGAAGAAGAAGAAAAAGGTTTTATCAGACCCCATTAAACACTGAGCGACATGGAAATCGCGCGACTTTGAGCGACATGTCTCGACTTCTTCCTATTGGGCTGTATGCAATCAGGGGCAATATCGCTCAAAATCGCTCTAAAAAAGGGTCATGTAGAAGCGACAAGCTACCAGCGACGAGCTACAAGCGATATTGAGCGATATTGAGCGACAGTGAGCGACGAGATGTGAACAGCTACATTGAAATGTATTGGTGAAGCTACATAGAGCGATATAGCGCGGAAATATGAGCGATATCGCTGCAAAAATCGCGCGATAAATCACTCAATGTGAACGGGGCCTAACAGTGACAGGTTCTCTTCTAACACCTACGGCAGCATAAGGGGATCTTTGTACTTATGGTAACATTTGCCCGGCTTCCTGATACAGGAAGTACTCGTGCTGGGCATCGGAGCATTTGGGCGAGTACGAGTACTCACTCAAACACTCGGTATCAGCACCTATACCGATACTGGTATCGGTGCATCCCTAGTAACATCCATTTTCTGGAGTTCATTGAGGGACACAGCATCATAGACATTGTCGGGTTATACTGCCACCTAAAGGAAAATGTACACACTAGCAAACAAAGGAAAATGTGACAAGTCCAGTATAATACCTCCTACTCCCAGCATGCCTCAGCATTCCTACTCCCAGCATGCCTCAATTTTGTGGAAAGCAGTACTCAGAATTATCTTAGAGTGGAAACTGTCCTTCATCTAAAGAGGGAGAGGTTATGCATGGCTGTCCTATAGCTGGGAGTGGGAGGGGTTATAAAGGCATACCCTACAGCTAGTAGTGGGAGGGGCTATCCTACAGCTAAAGAGGGAGGTGTTATGCATGGCTGTCCATCTAAAGAGGGAGGGGTTATACAGGGCTACCCTACAGCTGGTAGTGGGAGGGGCTATCCTACAGCTAAAGAGGGAGGTGTTATGCATGGCTGTCCATCTAAAGAGGGAGGGGTTATACAGGGCTACCCTACAGCTGGTAGTGGGAGGGGCTATCCTACAGCTAAAGAGGGAGGTGTTATGCATGGCTGTCCATCTAAAGAGGGAGGGGTTATACAGGGCTGTCCTTATACTTCTATTCCAGTGTCTCATCACCTGAATGCAGCTGCATAACCCAATGGTCTAAGACTTCAGATCCTGTGCCCTGTCATTTACGATCCTTGTACACATATTGAGAAACACCCCCAAAAAAAAACAAAAAACAAAACCACAAATTATCCTTTGCAAACACTTTACCCGGAATGGTGAAGGTGTCGGCGTCTCCATCACAGTACAGTGGCAGGAATCTTACCTGGATGGAAGTAATGGACGCCGTGTGACCTTGCAGCACCGCGACGGGAGCGCATGTCCGCAGACACCACACGCGGACCATCTTGTCACAACTGCCAGCAGCGATCAGCGTGTTCTCATAGTTCACCGCCATGTCCGAGATCTCTGCAGAGTGTCCGCGCAGCGTGGAGAGGAGCCTGCCGTCATCGGTGGCCCAAATCTTCACCAGACAATCGTCGGAACCCTGCCGGAGAGACGAGCAGAGAATCAGAACCAACCGGGGAGAAGGAAACCAATCAGCTTTCTATTAAAAAGAGGAATTATGGGGAGAGTGAAATATACTCATCCCCATAAGAGCGGACGTGTGACACTGAAGAGGTCACATGTCGGCTCTATAGTTTGAAAACGGAGCGATCACATACCGCCGATCACTCGTTTCCTGATCTTCTCAACCGCAGAGAGTGACTGTCAGGGATTAGCACCACCCCTCTCCATTCCTGACTGGAGGGACCAACTTGGGAGGGGGGAACGGGCAGAGCCAGCAGTCAATCAAGTGGCGGGATGGATTCCAACAATATTCAAGATCTTTCCTGGCCACAGTGCGGCTCTATGCTGTCAGCATACAGCGGGCAACAGCACGCTATATGCTGGGTTTTGGGTCACAGGAGGACATAGTAAACAAAGTAAAAGGTTAGGCCATAGCTCTCTTTTAATGCATCTGTTGGAGTGAACTCTATAACGCAATTCTCATGAAGAACAATGGCTGTACAATTCATCTGTCATGATATCTCCCTCTGATCAATGTTTATATACAATGTTACTTTGTATCTCTCTATCCCCCTCTGATCAATGTTTATAAACAATGTTACTTTGTATCTCTCTATCTCCCACTGATCAATGTTTATAAACAATGTTACTTTGTATCTCTCTATCTCCCTCTGATCAATGTTTATAAACAATGTTACTTTGTATCTCTCCATCTCCCTCTGATCAATGTTTATAAACACTTTGTCAGATGGTCTATTTTTTGACACCAGCAGCTTCTACAGCTTTTGTATTCACACAGCAACTCCGGGCATTCATTTTGACAGCTGGAAATTGCCATAAAGTTCAAGGGGAATGGAAAGAGCAACAGTGGGTCAGAAGGTGGGTGGGACAGACCAGGAGTTATCGGTCCTGTCAATCAGGGCGTTATGCCATAGTGGGTGGGGCAGACATGGAGTACGAGCTGCCGGAGTCCTCCCACTTCAGCAAGCAGCAATGTAATATTTATCTCCCCAATACAACTCCAGAAAAACTCTACAAACCGGCAGACAAAACTCTGCGCGTTTCTAGAACTCACCGTGAAGATTCTCCTCCCGCTTCGGTCAAATGCCACGCAGTAGACGGACGACAGGTGACCCAGAATCCTCCGGTGCATTTTTATGTGCTGATATGATGAAGTGGGGAAGATGCACTGGAAGCGGGAGCAGCTGGTCAGCGTTCTGGACGACGCCACTTTCACTGGAAATGAAAAAAATAAAAAATATGGCAACACGTCAATATTCCGCGTATTCTGCGTCCAATCAAGAAGAAGCCAAAAGGATCGGCTCCTGTGTGTTTCTACGTATGTGCCGAGTTATAAAGCAGCGGGGGAGTTGTCTGTAGCAATTACTTTCATTTTATATCCAGTATTGGGAGTGTTATAGGAGATTTCTATCCCCACCTCTGATATTTCATGATGAGCCACTTGGCCCATTTTACTTAATAGAACTGCCAACCAAATGAGAAAGAAGAACCCAGGGGCAGGACTGGGAGGAGCCACACTGTCCTGTTCATGGAGTGGCTGGCGCTCGTGCAGAAAGTTTAAAAAAAAATTTAATCGATCAAAAAGATTAACGATTAATCGAGAAACTAATCGTTAATTTCCACAGCCCTAATATACACACACACACACACACACACACACACACACACACACATACATAGGTGAGCAGTGGAAAATCCGACACCCTGAGCTGCGCAGAGCGAGGGATGGAAAGTTGAGGCATTAGAAGTGAAACCAGAATCAGAGGGGAGCACAGAGAAGACTTCCTGACCAACGCAGGTAATAGGGAAAGGCCTCCCCGTACAGGAAGACGACATCCCCAGGTCTGGTGTGCAGTTTCTTTAGGTTTATAAAACATTTTTGCAATTTACGTACCGACACTGAGCGATCTTCCATAGTTGACGGGGAGTTCCGGCGGTCGGCCCCTGTGCAGAGCTGCGTATGTGGAGGGCTTCCATGTCGAGTTCCTGCAGTCTGAGGGGACAGAAAGACAACAGTGAAGGGGAAACGTTTCATGTCATTGAAGAGGAAGTCCCTTGAAGGCCTTATCTCTGCCCCTCCCACAATGGTGAGGTTTCCTCCAGTAGTTTGTGTCTCTGCCCCTCCCCCCATGGTGAGATTTCCTCCAGTAGTTGGTGTCTCTGCCCCTCCCCCCATGGTGAGATTTCCTCCAGTAGTTGGTGTCTCTGCCCCTCCCCCCATGGTGAGATTTCCTCCAGTAGTTGGTGTCTCTGCCCCTCCCCCCATGGTGAGATTTCCTCCAGTAGTTGGTGTCTCTGCCCCTCCCCCCATGGTGAGATTTCCTCCAGTAGTTGGTGTCTCTGCCCCTCCCCCCATGGTGAGATTTCCTCCAGTAGTTGGTGTCTCTGCCCCTCCCCCCATGGTGAGATTTCCTCCAGTAGTTGGTGTCTCTGCCCCTCCCCCCATGGTGAGATTTCCTCCAGTAGTTGGTGTCTCTGCCCCTCCCCCCATGGTGAGATTTCCTCCAGTAGTTGGTGTCTCTGCCCCTCCCCCCATGGTGAGATTTCCTCCAGTAGTTGGTGTCTCTGCCCCTCCCCCCATGGTGAGATTTCCTCCAGTAGTTGGTGTCTCTGCCCCTCCCCCCATGGTGAGATTTCCTCCAGTAGTTGGTGTCTCTGCCCCTCCCCCCATGGTGAGATTTCCTCCAGTAGTTGGTGTCTCTGCCCCTCCCCCCATGGTGAGATTTCCTCCAGTAGTTGGTGTCTCTGCCCCTCCCCCCATGGTGAGATTTCCTCCAGTAGTTGGTGTCTCTGCCCCTCCCCCCATGGTGAGATTTCCTCCAGTAGTTGGTGTCTCTGCCCCTCCCCCCATGGTGAGATTTCCTCCAGTAGTTGGTGTCTCTGCCCCTCCCCCCATGGTGAGATTTCCTCCAGTAGTTGGTGTCTCTGCCCCTCCCCCCATGGTGAGATTTCCTCCAGTAGTTGGTGTCTCTGCCCCTCCCCCCATGGTGAGATTTCCTCCAGTAGTTGGTGTCTCTGCCCCTCCCCCCATGGTGAGATTTCCTCCAGTAGTTGGTGTCTCTGCCCCTCCCCCCATGGTGAGATTTCCTCCAGTAGTTGGTGTCTCTGCCCCTCCCCCCATGGTGAGATTTCCTCCAGTAGTTGGTGTCTCTGCCCCTCCCCCCATGGTGAGATTTCCTCCAGTAGTTGGTGTCTCTGCCCCTCCCCCCATGGTGAGATTTCCTCCAGTAGTTGGTGTCTCTGCCCCTCCCCCCATGGTGAGATTTCCTCCAGTAGTTGGTGTCTCTGCCCCTCCCCCCATGGTGAGATTTCCTCCAGTAGTTGGTGTCTCTGCCCCTCCCCCCATGGTGAGATTTCCTCCAGTAGTTGGTGTCTCGGCCCCTCCCACAATGGTGAGATTTCCCCCAGTAGTTGGTGTCTCGGCCCCTCCCCTTCACATGTCTTACCTTTCGCTCTGCGCAGTAGGGATTGTTTCCCCACCCCCAGGAGGCTGCACACGCCCGGGACGCTCTGCGGGATCTCCTGGTCTAGGATGGGTCCAATCCGCTCGCAGATCTTCAGCAGGTAGTTGGGGGGAATGTGGGAATTGGACGCCACCTGATACGAAGCAAAGTCGGGATTAGGAATCTGCGATAAAATGTCATGCGGGAGGTTCCAGGAAGCCGACAGCAGCTGATCCCCCGCGGCAGGAAAGGAATCCCGAGGATCACCTTCACGGAGGAACAGGGCCAGCCACACATGTATTACTCTGACCAACTACCCACAATGCAATGCTTCCAGAACACCCCAACCAACGGGAATGAATCACTTCCGGGAGAGGACCCAGGGGGCGGGACTAGGTGGGTCTTGTCTCCTCCCCCCTCCTGTAATGAAGACCGGTCACTGTTGCCCTCCCCCGCTCACTGAGGATCTACAGATCACATGACCCTCCCCCGCTCACTGAGGATCTACTGAGGAGGAGGGGACAGGACAGACGCCGGCCCCCGAGGAGGAGGGGACAGGACAGACGCCGGCCCCCGAGGAGGAGGGGAGAGAGAACAAACATGACAGACACCATCATTACCCCAAAATATATGAGGGGTAATTACACATCAATGTTCCCTCCTCCCGGAGGGGCAGATAGCGACACATACATCCCTCTGAGGGGCAGACACCAAGATACCCCATAGAGGGCACATAAAGACAGATAACCTAGGGGTAGAATTATGAAAGGCTCCTCCTAAAACCATCTCTAGGGGCAGATACAGAAATGTACCCCCTGCCCCCTTCTGTACAGGCAGATACAGATACTCCTCGCTCCATCTCTAGGGGCAGATACAGATACCCTTCCCCCATCTCTAGGGGCAGATACAGATACCCTTCCCCATCTCTAGGGGCAGATACAGATACCCTTCGACCATCTCTAGGGGCAGATACAGATACCCTTCGACCATCTCTAGGGGCAGATACAGATACCCTTCGACCATCTCTAGGGGCAGATACAGATACCCTTCGACCATCTCTAGGGGCAGATACAGATACCCCCCCAGGGGTCATATAAGACCCTGACAGACCCCCCTGGGGGCAGAATTATGACAGATTTTCCCTCATCTCTAGGGGGCAGATACAGGCGGATACCCCTGTGAGGGGCAGA